ACAGCATTTTCAGCCGTTATTAACATCAAGCATTTGCCTTGAAACAGGAGCTCAAAACATCAGCTTGCTTGTTTGCTAGGGACAGAGCAGAGCAGACAGCACTGATCGTGCTTCACCCTGTGCTTTCCAAGGGATGGCTACAGTTTGACATTATGATCTCGTGTAGGAATGATCACCCCATTAATAGTTTCATTGATTACGTTCGGAAGAGGCTCCTAGTTCTCCCCAGGAGAAGTTACATGACTAGAAAACCACACGTTGGTATCGTGGCCTCGTTAAGCTATGGCTTAGTTAATTACTAGCTACAACACAGAGCAGTACTCCCTGAAGGGGCACATTATCTTTCCATCATGGTGCAGGCTGCACGTGATGCCTAACATTCCAGGGGAGAACAATATACTGTAGGGAGAAGTAGCTAATTTTATTTTGCAGCATAGCTTTCACATAAAGGCATCGTACAGTTATTTCCAGGAGAGTATAATTACAGAATCACAAACTACAAGTCCTAAATAAGGTAGTGAGGAACTTACAAATAGCTGTATGCAAAGCTTGGCAGTTGCAAAGCAGCAAGAGGAGAAAATTGAAGGGGCACAGAGCAAGGAAAGAGCTTTCCAGGTGGCGCTTTGAGGAGGATCAAAGAGGGGCTCTTGGCAATGCGGAGGGGCCAGTAGAAGCCGGCGAGCAGCACTCGCTGCGTGCTCGCTCCATGCGCACTTACCTGCACGGGCAGCCTGGGCACTACGAGGGGGTTGGAAAAAACAACAAGTTGTTCCGTGAGCAGCACGCGGAGCCTGGTCGCCCCTGGAACACCCTGTCCCCGCACGGCTCCGCACGCCCCTCGTGCCCCTCTCCCCCCGCACCCCAGCGCCCCCAACGCTCCCGGAGAGGGTCCCACGTGGCGGACGGGCGCCAGCAGACGCCCAGGGAGTGGGCAAGGAGGGATAGGGGAATTGGGGAGGGCAGAGGCCGGCGCGGCCCTCGCTCCCTCGGGCCCGGGGCTCACAGCTCAGCACAGCCGCTCCTCGCCGCCGCACGCCGCAGACCCGCCACTGCCGCCTCTCCCACCGCACACCRCATCCTGCACAGCCCGTTTATTCCCTCTAGGAAGTCAGAGATCTTCTCTTAAAAGCTGACTACTCCTAACAACCTTCTTAGCTGATTTAGAATAAAGCAAAAGTAGATTAGCTCTACATTTTTTTGCAGTGCTTGATCCATTAGAAAATGCAGAATTAGAGAGAGAAAACCCCACAGCTCGTATCACTGGACAGACAGTTTCAGCACCACCACAAAAACAATATCCAGAACAATATCCGCTTTGAAACAAGAGACCACAGGACTGTTCTGAGGCAATAAGGAAGATGATGGTTGTAGCAGATTTACAGAACTGAGTGTGATGCTAGAGTCACTCCAGCTCACAAAACATACTAAATATTGAATTAAAATACCTAACAGCGAGAAGTGTATAAGTGTATGTTAAACAGAAAGTTACTATATCTACAGCCCAAGTACCAMAAAAAAGTATGCACGTTTTCCAGAAAAATATCACCCATATTTACAATATAAAAAGGAAGAACCGAGCAGATAATTTGGAAGTCAATGTTAGAGGGAAAACACGTACAAACCGAGGCTCAGTCGATGTGCTAGCAGTCTGCAGCTGAAGCAGAGTAACCCACCAGCTGTGAAACATTAGCTCCGGAAGCCATTCATTAATATTGAAATCCATGCAAARTATTCCATAGAAAACTCTGCTGCTGACCAATTTGTTCAAAAGTAAAGCTAGAGAAGAGTGTGGCCGTGGCTCAGCCTGACTTGCAGAGCGAAGCCACCCACCCTGCTGCACCCACCACTTTCTCCGGACCACGCAGGACGCGCAGAGGCAAAGGCAGCGCTGGCCGCCCGCGCGCCCGGCTCTGCGGCTCATCGATACCCTTCGCTGCTCTGGGCCCAGGGCCGCAACGGCTGAACCTGCATTCCTGCGAGAGCCTTTTCCCTTAACTGAAATGCACGCAGGAAYTGAATGAAATTCCCTCCCGAAAGGCCCAAGTGGCACCTGTGGCCACAGAGTGCAAGTGCCTGCCGGCCGAGCTCTTCCATGTGCCTCAGCCTCGTGAGCTCCACGCAGAAACAACGCTGCCTTTTCCATTACRGGCTGAGGACAGATGTTTGAATTCAGGATGCAGCAGAGCAGTCACAATGCGTTTCCAAACTTGAAAGGTGCAACCAAATTTCCTATACTCATCCTTGCCTTGCAGATGGGATGTGAGGGGATGCCATTGGGACGCATAGAACTCATAAAACATCGTCTTTCTTACCGTTACAAATATAAATGACTTCACTGTCTTTTCCTTTGCAGTTTTGAGACAGTGTGTGCAGTTTTATTGCCCCAGGACATACTGAATATGCCTGTGTAAGTCTGAGTAGGCTGGAGAAGGGAATCCCAAACGTATCTGCCTCAGAGCTTTGTACAAGTAACAGTGACATTGCTTGGTACAATCGGAACCACCAATTTAAGCATTAGGATCTTTTCTTTCGGCAGGAACAGTTCCTAGATGCCTGCCGATTGACCCTGATTTCTTACATTTGTTAGTAATGAATTTTATACTGTAGCTGTCTTTAAAGCACAGATTTATTTTGCTTGCTTTCCTTCTACAGTTCCTACAGCAAAAAGGGCAATGTGCCCCACAGGATGAGAAACATCCGTGTATTTGCTATAAGGCTAGCCAGGGTGTCATATATAAATATAAACCCCCTCACTTCTCTGGTTTAAATGAATTCACACAGGCACAAAGATGGGGATCTTCTGCAGCGAATCCACCAAGGTAACAGGAATACTCACGTTCCAGAGCCTCCACTGCTGCCGGCAGCGTTTTTGTGTGTGTGCTGCTCAGGCGCAGCCTAACTGCTCAGCGGCCCGACAGCTACCGCCGCGTACATCCCTGCTTCCAAAGGGAATGCCAAAGGACCGCAAGATGCCCGAGTAAAACTGGCTGACCTCGAATTCCTCACAARTCCTGTTCATGAGCAGAAGCTACCCTTGCTCCTTTCAGGAAACACGTTACCCCTCTGTAGGTGCTGCATTTTCATTTTACTACATTCATGGTGCTTGTTAATTGTTCCACCAAAGCACAACTCCACTAAATTCAGGATGCGACTTTGCTAACCAGGATAGATGTTCAGCAGCTCAGATACATAGCACATTGTGTATCCTATGCATCACTCACCTTCTCACTGTAAAACTGAAGCTTCCWGTTGAGAAATACCAATTTGGGATGTCTTAATATTTACAACTATTTTGAATTTATATATAGCCTTAGGTTACAAGTATGTTTCAATAAACATGTCAAATCTAAATRAAGAGAATATGTAGCATTCAAAAGTTACAATTTGTGTTCTAATATAAATTCAAACCACACGTGGCTACTTAAAATACAGAAAAGGACAGATCAGTCTTATTTCACCTCTTCTTTGTTCGAGCTTTCTTCTGTTCACGATTCTCATTTTCTAAGAGATGATGCAACTAGTAATTCTTTTCTGATTTTCTCCCCTGCAATTCAAAATGCTTTTGCTGCAATGACCACACCAATAATAATGTAACTAATGTAGATTTTTCTCTCATGCAGAAATATTTGGATATTACTTCAAAGATAATAGTCACCTACCTTCATCACCTCCTACCCCATGGTTTTGTGCTACTCCATATCATCAGACTGTCTAATTTCTGACTAGTAACTGTACTAATAGGAAGCCTTGTAAGCACACAGCATAAGAAAATGAGAGGTTGATGAATTCCCAGGTTGAGGTAATTTAATAGGGAGATTATTTGTATAAGCTCTTCTACAGATGTCTACACAAGTCTCTGGTTAGACAGCTTCAATATTTGACCCTGCGCATGAGACCTTTATTCTGAACAGCTTATCTGGCTTGTGGCCAGTCCTCCCCAGAAGGCTTGTGTGTTTAAAGGAAAGAAGGCGCGTTGCAGAACGGCTCACTCCCATGCCTTTCAGTAGCTGACCTACAACATGAGCCTATRTCTGCTGCAGACTAAAAGAGAATAAATAGATGCAAATAACATGGAAATTTATATCTGCCAACATGCAACTTAAACTTAATGCAAATGTATCCACTAAATCAGGAAGCATTTTGAAATGTCAATAGCAAGCAGCAGAAATGAGAGCSCCCTGTACGTACCACCGTGCTCCCGTTGTGCATGTTGTGTGTGTCCTTGTGGGCGTGGGCACAGAAATCTATGCAAGCTGTGACCCCCGAGAAAGGCCGGCCGTCCTTGCACCCCAGCCGGCAGTCTGGGCCCATGTGCTCGTTTTCCACCTAAAGGTAAAATAAACTACAGGTACTTAGGACTGTAAAGGAGTCACCTGGCACCTGGTGAGCCCCAACTACATTTCTGACTGAATAAAAAGTCAGTAAAAATTAGAAAGTACATATTTTCCATTGAAACATGTAACACATTTATTACTGGATGCCAGCAAGATGATCAGCTCAGAGCCRAACTCGTCTGACCAGCAAAACCTCTTATAATATTATTTGTAAAAGTTGTACCTGCACATAGTTCAGAGCATAACTTGGCCATCGGCTGAAGCCAGCAAGACAGAGTTTTAGAGCCAACTAGACCCACAGGACTCGCCTCACCTGTGAGCTCTGTGGCTCTGTTCATTAACCTGGTTTGGAGTTTCAGCTTGTTTAACTAAGCTGACTATTTAGAGCTACTGTCGCATTATTTGAATATCACAGACCTACCTGGTTCTGAAACGCTTCAGGAGCGAGCTTTTTATAAACTGGAGCCACATCAGTAGCTAATGTTTGCAAATTATTTTCAAGCAGTTCCTCCTGCAGACAGAGACAACATTTAGAGAATTGTAATGTACTTCAGAAGACTTTAATTCAGTTTCAAGATGACTGACATGAGTCAGCAAAGCTAGAAAGTCTACCCCGATCTTACAAGGTATTAATCTGACTCCTTTTCTATTATCTTTTGTCACCAGCTGGAAATAGATCTACTGTCCTAAGTTGTCAGAACTGATAAATGCAAGTGAACCAAGTAAGAACGCAGGACGTGTGCTAGGGCACGGAAACCCCAGAACACAATGAATTGCTTCCTGCATTATTTTTGCCTTCACATACATGGACAGTTCAAGGAAACAGGTATGTCCTACACAAAATGGAAAAGCAATGTCCATAAAAGAGAAAAAATGACCACATGGAGACAGAATGCCAAGTCTAATGCTTTCTTCTTTTTTTTTTTTTTTAATGGAAACTTAATTTCTACCAATACAGTTTCTGCTCAAGAAATTCTGCTTTCTGCTTTTGCGTTCCCTTTCAACTGACGAGTAACTGACAATGGCATTTAACATTATTTCCTGCTCCTTGGGAAAGATGTCTCCTATTGCAACAAAACTCTTATCAGGAATATTTGGCATTTCATTCTTTGACGGTTCAGAACTCTCAGGACTTTAGGAAAATACCTACTAGATCTGGAAGACATACACAGTTCCTTGGGAAAAACCTTTTAATGTGGTACTAACTAGATGGGCTTCCACAGTGGTTTAGTAGTTAAGCTCTTATTTATGCAAACGTGAYCCCTAAATTCTGGGCCAGGCTTTTGGAGACAGCTGCAGCTTCAGATTTGGACACTGTGCAGTGGCAAAAAATAACAGCTTATTTTGTTTTACAAAAGCATCTCTGCATATGCTATATATGTCCGTGTACATAAATGTAAAAGTACACTTTGACATTTTTCAGTGTGGTGCTACATTATTAAAGAAAACTGTATCTTAAAGCCATACTATAAGCCAGTTATTCTAACTGCAGATTGCTACCACACATTCTAAATTGCACTGAAGGTAAATATATGCTTTATTATCTATCCTATGTACTATTCTTACCTAGGTGTATTACACCCTTAACCTCATCTCACTCCATCCAGTGCCTCAAATGATCCAAATCTKTCTGGACTTCAAATCTATCTTCTTAATTTGCTATACCTTCTAGTTTTATGTCATCTGCAAAATCATCAATATCCAGTATTTAGCTGAAAGAATTATCTGCTACTAAAATTAACAACAAAACCAAACGAAGASGAGTTATTTACCATGAAATTCACTTTCTGATGCACTGCCAACCTCTGCAGCCTGGAAATGCCCAAGGGCCCTCAGCAAGGGCAGAAGGCTGTGGCACAGGGCTGCCCTAATGGTGCACAGGCTGCCCTCACAGGCAACCTACCRTCGTGCACGCTGTACGGCCCTCAGTCTCTCTTAGCTGCAGAAAGCAAGGAGGCTTTAAAACTTGCCAGAAAAGAAGGGAAAATACATGGGTAGATTGGACACCTGGAAAACATGCAGTTACTGGATTGGCAATCTTCTCTTTCAGGTGGCTGTTTCTACACACTGGGGCATAAAGTCTCCAAATAGACAAAGTAGCTGGAAACAGCTCTCGGGAGGCAGGCGGCACTTCCAGAGGCCTCTGCAAAGCTGGTGCCGGGCTCCGGGTCTCACTGCGGCTCCGAGTGCCCTCGTTCACCCTGCTCCGGGTCTCACTGCGGCTCCGAGTGCCCTCGCTCACCCGGCTCCGGGTCTCACTGCGGCTCCGGGTGCCCTCGCTCACCCGGCTCCGGGTCTCACTGCGGCTCCGGGTGCCCTCGCTCACCCGGCAGGGAGGACAGGAAGCTGCCAACACAGCGGTGGCCTTGGGGAGGACAGTTCATCACCCAGAATGGAGCTACTGCAGTGCTCTTACATTGTGAGAGTTCTGGACACAGGCCAGGCAAAGCCTATGACAAGTCCTGATACTAAAATGCATAATAAGAGACATTGAATTTTCGTGCAGTGGAATAAATATAAGCACTGATGTTGGGTACATATAAGTTCCGCACATATATGTGAGAGAAGGAGGGGCAAATATCTGTAGATTCCACTTCTTGTTGTGAAAATAATCTGAATGAATCCAGGAGGAAAACAAAATATACAAATATATACAACAACATATAAAAAAGTCTTACTTGTTTGGAGTCATCAGTCAGAAGCCTAAATTTCCTGGGGTTTTTGCTTCTGGCAAATTTGCAGCCATTGAAATACATACTCCATGAACAGCCAAATGAGAACGATGCTCCACAAGTTTCGGGATCAAGTCCTTGACATGCACACGTACGGCTATGAAAGGTGACAAGGTATGGCAAGGCAGTTGATAAAGCAGTTTTGTTCTTTAATAAAATAATAGTATTGACATTTACTATATAGCAAAATAACGCATGAGTTTATAARACATACAGTTTAACCAGTATACTTGCCTTCCATTAGATATTTAGGTGTGGAGGATTGCTTATTATCTTTCTCTAGGACAAATTCAGAGCCCCCAATACTCCATGCTACTGTGATTTTGATTCATCTGATTGGATTAAAGTACAAAAAGTAGCACTCTTACTGAATGCCACCCCAAGATGGCATTCTTGGGTGGAGATACTGTATCACCAGACTGATCCAACTTTTAAATGGAACATCTCTAATCACATGAACATTGCATTGAGGTCAACTGCATCCAGAGGGACTGATTAGATGTAGGCCACATAAATCAGCAAACCAGGGCAGAAATGCTGCAGAGCCTCAGCTGCAACCCATTAGCTTGTCAATTAAATTAGATTCCTCACATTAGTTGGTCATTTCAGGCAGAGAATGCTTATTCTATCATTTATAAAAAAAAAAAAAAATCCAGGGTTTTAATTATGACCAGTTATCTGAAGCAGCATAATGGCAGGGTGGCAGTGAGGGCTCAGCCCACCCCAGCCTAACGAATGCAGGGACTGTTCAACTTCCCTTTCTTCTGGATGCCACCTAAAGAACAGGCGCCAGGATGAGAATGGGAACCTGCCGGGGTAGCACTGCTGCATTAAGTGCTCCCAGTAACAGGGGCTGTCCTGAAAACAGCAGTCACTGCTAGGTGCCAGACAGGGCTGTACAGCTGGGAAGCGACGGGCATTACTTGCAATGAAATAGTGACTAACAAAGGGAATTGCCCATTTGCCCATTCCGGAACTTTGCAGAGAAGGCTCCCGCCCTCTCCAGACACTTACTTCAGAAACCTCAGTTGCTATTCCCTCAGTTTTGGACCTTGCTAGGAGGGCAGCTGTGTCAAGGGCACCCTGACTAGGCTGCGTCCTTTGCCAGGCGAGCAGTTCGTGGCCATCCCCTTCCCCGGCACCCAGGCCCAAGCATCACTGTCACAGAGAGCCCGCTCTCTAGAAAGGCTAGGAACCAAGTTCTGGACTAAAATGACACCTAGTGGTTTGCAGTTTAAAGCAACTTTTGTGTATTTACCATCAGTAGCACTAGTACTGCTCAAGGCTCAAGTTTTTCTTTCACGCAGAACGACACTCCAACAGCAACACAGCAAGGGCTATTAGTGGAACTTACTCTTCATTTAATGCACATCTGCGGCTGGTGGGACAGCCGTATTTTCGGAGGCTCTGTGTCAGTTCCTTGTACAGCGTATCAGCCAGGAGATGTGGGATCCCTTCCCAGGCCAAAATCAGGATCACTATGACGGCCGTTTGGCAGTGGTGCCCTGCACGCTGACGTACCAAGCACAGCAACTTTTCTTCATCGCTACTTCTTCGTATCACCTGGAAGAAAAAGGCATTTTGTTCCCTCCCAGATAAACACAGGGAATGCCTGCAAAACCTGGACATCAGATCTTTGTGCACCCTGCTTTACTCATTACTAAGAGAATAAACTGTTTACAGAACCAAAATAAAACAAAATGCTCAAGTAATACTAACTATTAAGTTGTCCATGTTATTTCATATSAAGTCACTTTTGGGTCTGCCAAACTGGCTTCGGTGGAGGAAATTGCACATAGGCAACTAAAAGCAAAATTCAGCCTTCAAAGAATTAAACAGAGAATCAAAGTAAGGAATAATGCTGTCCAAAGGGCCCGCCCAGCRGGCAACCCTGACTGGGACAGCATCACATGCTGCTCCCTGGGAAAGAATGTCATTTTGCATTGCATTTCTACCTGTAGAAGGAATGGCAACCTATTTTACAGAAGTAGGAATATTTTCAGTGTCCCAGCCAGTACAAACACTAAGGAAGACCGATAAGAAGAAAATAAGTCATCCTGAGATAGCACAGCTACTGAAAAGCTAAGAGCTGTCCTGAAATGACACTGAAAACAGACCYGCCAGCCAGAGGCCGGTGCATGAGCACGCCGCGCAGGCACACGCATGTTCTGGCCACTGCCACGCAGCCGCAGACAAAACGGTTCCTCCCTTGTGAAACATGAAGATTGGAAGAAAGTGGTGAAAATAAACAAACTTATTGCAAGCAGAAATGAGATTTTTCTTGACACCACTTGCTACACTATCTACGTTGCAGTTCTGAGCAGAGTTGTGAGGTTTTTCAGTGAATTGTAGCTCTACAAGGCGACGTCAGCCAACTGCATCCATACACACACCAAAGCTCGTTTGGCTGTGCACAGCCTCGGCCAGCACCTCTCACACGAAGCCCATTTCTCCCACACAACCCTCTGAGCACAAGGCGGGGGTGAGAGKTTCACCCGTCCTCTGGTACCTTCCGACACCGGGGCTTTCGGGCAGAGCCCCTGTCAGGCTGGTGTCCAAGCTGCCCTGTTGCCCGGCACGCGGCTAACTGTCACACGCAACTCCCAGCCCCGTCCGCTCCGAGCAGCCACATGACCTGAGCTGACTGAAAGCAGGGAGCACAGCAYCCTTGCAATTAATCTGCAAGTGAAAAGATTTTCAAAACGACAACAGTTTCAGTGGGAATCTGTGCAAACTTTGCAGGAAGACAAAAGCTCCGAGTTAATTTGTGTCAAGAGAGAAAGTATCGCTCTTTTACAGTTAATCATACAATTTTACAGAGAGCCTTAAACCTTAATGAGAAAACAAGCAAAAGCTTCTGAGATGCCTTTCCACAAACGAGTCTTGGTAGTGACGAATCAGTACAGTATTTTCTATAAAGAAAGAAAAATAAGGCTACTCATTTCCATTTGAGTGAGCTTTACAGAAGACCTATTATGGCTGATGCACAATACAGATTATTCAYGTCTGTGCGAGTTTTACATTTT